TTTGGTCGACGACCTGAGTGAAAATGAAATTGTGAGTAGCCCCACTATCAATCAACGCCACCACCTCCTTGTCCTCTATCTCCCCCTTTATTTTCATGGTATGATTCGTAGTAAATCCTACCACTGAGTTCAGGGAAATCTCGGCCAGATCCAAATGCAGCTTCTCCTCCATCTCCTCCTCTGTCTCCTCATCACCTCCCTTAGTTTCCTCGTCATCACAGATGGTGAGAACCTGAACAGTTCGGACCTTACCTCGTCCTCTCCATATTTCTCTGATTTTCAACCAGTTGGGCCAAGTTCATGGCCTCCCCAAGTCATGGGGCATGAAAACCTTCACTGATGCTCGGATCTCCGCCTTCAACCCCTTCATGAAATTTTCCTCCAATATTGTATCTGATAATTGCTCCACTCTATTGGCTAGGTGCTCAAATCGCTCCCGATAGTCTGCTAGTGATCCGTCTTGCGTTAGAGCAAAGAACTGCTTATAGAAATCTTCTCCCCGGTCGGTTTGGAAACGTTCTATTATACAGTCCATGAATTCCCTCTAGTTCTTGATAGGCCTCCTCTGGTCTCTCCACTAATACCAAACAGAGCTTTTCCTTCCAAGCAAATGCTCGCCGTTGTTTGCTTCTCCTCCTCCATCATCCCATTGACGACGAAGTATCGTTCCACCTTATAAATCCACCCATACACATCTTCTCCTTCAAATATGGGCATCTTCAACTTCCTAACCTTCTGATTGCCACTATTCCCCCTCATTCTTCCATAGATTCTCCTTTCCCAAGCACTAGGCCCTCCCCACATCTCTCGATCTTCCCTTGCCCTTCCATAGCCTAAACCCCTTCAAATTCCCCCATTCTTTCTTCAAAATCAGCACCTCGGCGGCCATAGTATCCCTCCTGGCGTACCATATCCACCTCCTCTTTCTTCCCTCTGGACAGGCTTTAGATGGGGTCTTATTCTTTCTCCTTCCATGATTTCTACCTCATCTTCCTGCCTACGGATTTCAGAATTCGAGATTTTTCGTTCCACACCTTTTGCCACGGAAGCCTCCGTTTGGTTTTGAATTTCCAATATTTTTTTCATCATGTCCCCAAGATCGGTTACTTGTCCTTCCATGGAGGAAATCCTATCCTCCACCGTTGTCTTGATTTGATTCATCTCCCCTTCAAGCCTTTCTTTCAAAGTATCCACCTTCTTGGCTGTCATCACAATCCGGAGTTTGTAGATTCACAAAATCTTAATTTGGGACTCAAAAAATAGCAACTTCTATCTTTTCCGGGCCAAAATTCGCTTCTGGAATTTGCCGAAAACAGCCTTCCACCGGTCCCAAAATATGCTCTAATACCAATTTGATAGGAAATACGTGAGTTCGCAAGTAATTCTATCGGATTTACTTGAGTTCGCAAGCAAACCTAACAATAATTGGTAAAATACCGAGAAAAAACGAAGAAATTATGGTGGTAGAACAATCAAATGATAAAAAATCTTATAGAAAGCAAAACGAAACCAGAACAAAGGAAAGATACAAGAGATCCTCAATTCGAGAGGAGAATAATCTCTCCCAAATCTCTAGACAAGAGAGTTTTGAGCACAAGTCGCCAAGAAACCCTAATTCCAATCAATCAAAACCTAATCTTCCCTAATCATCTCATCCTCTTTAATACAAAAGCTTTGTTAATCTAATTTCCCTCCCAAGCCCTAGCTGCCCCTCCTTTTCAATTTGAAATCACTTGGACAAGTGGGGCCCACCCATTTGGGCGGAACATACCAATGGAGGCGGACTGTTTCCGCCTCCTGTACACAAGCTGAGGGCCGGCTAGGCCGGTTCAGGATGAATCGGCTTATCGGGAAGGTATTATTCATAAATCTTCCTACATTTACACTTCACAACAAAATAGAATTACATATAGAAAAAATGGCTACCTTGTTGCCTCCACCCAGGCACTTCTATTCGACCACAATGTACGTAAATCCTAGGGGGAAGCCATTCTGGCTGTCACATATCTCATAAACTGAGTACCCTCAAAAACCTTGAGACTAAAAATACTAATGAATATTGTCTTCTTTTTACCCTGAATTCAGAACCCATAATAATCTCACACCCAAAATGTTTGGGTGAACTGCCTATGTTCACATTCATAGTCAAATTAAAGAAAAATTAGATCTAAGAGCACTCAAATGTATCTTTGTCGGATATTCATCTACACAGAGAGGTTATAAGTATTATCACCCCATCATTAAGAAAACCCTTGTATCTGTTGACATCACTTTTGATGAATAAAAATCCTATTTCACCAAACCTTATTTTCAGGGGGACAATACACTATTCCTTAAGCACTCGGACTCAAGGGGAGTCACAGTTTTGCTAGTTTATGTGAATGATATCATTTTGAATGGGAATGATGAAAATGAGAAAGTGATTCTAAGGAAATGTCTTGCCAAGAAATTTGAGATCAAAGAATTTGGTAGGTTGAAATATTTTCTTGAAATTGAAGTGACCCACTCCAGTGGAGGATTCTTTCGTTCACAACATAAATATATTATTGATCGTTTTAAAGAAATATGTAAACTAGCGTGTAAACCAACACCAACATTAGTAGAATCAAATCTCAAATTGGGGGAAGCTAAAGATAATCTAGATGTAGATAAGGAAGCTTACCAGGGACTTGTGGGGAAATTGATCTACCTTTCCCATATTAGACTAGATATAGCCTTTACTGTAAGCATGATAATCCTGTTCATGCAAAATCCAAAGCAGACTCACATGCAAGTAGTAGAAAGAATACTACAATACTTTAAGGGGAATCCAGTAAAAGAGATTCTCTTTAGAAGAGAATGTGGAGTAACCTCTGAAGCATATATTGATGCAGATTAGATGATCTACCTCATAATACTGCACATTCCTTGGTTGAAACCGTATTTCATGGAGAAGTAAGAAATAGAATGTGGTGATAAGATCTATTGCAAAAGCCAAGTTCAGAGTTATGGCCTTTGAAATTGAAACTATTATGGATCAAGATGATTCTAGAAGACCTAAAGATCAAGTGAGGACTTATAAATCTACATTGTAATAACAAATCAAAAATCATCATAGCTCACATTCCGGTTTAGTATGACAGGACCAAGCACATAGAAGTTTACAAACATTTTATAAAGGAGAAATTGGACAACAGTCTTATATGTATCTATCATGTCTCATTAAAAGATCAGCTTTCATAAGTTCTTATCAAAGGGCATGATAACTCTACTTTTTTTGGATTGATTACTAAGCTGTGAATGACAGATTTGTATTTCCCAGCTTGAGGGGTAGTGTTAAATCCCAACTGTCCCTTGACCCTTTTGATCCCATGACCAACATGGGGATCTGTAGGAGGCTCATCTTGATCAGGCCGATCTCCTTCCATATTTGGGTGGCTGATTTAGGAAGAATTATGTTGGGGCAATTATACATGATTAAGTAGTTATTTGTTATTTTTTTATTAAGATATATTGTATAGATCTATAAATAGGGATAGTTTCGTGTAATAAAATTAAACTTTTTCTCTCTCCAATTCTTTGAATTTAATAATAATATAACCACACTTTATTTACCAATAAATCATCTTTAGGTAAAATTTTTGTCCAAATTGTATCTATTGATGATATCATCATATCAAGAGATCATGAAGTAGTGATAAACAAGTTGAATGATTTCTTATCTAAATATAATTAGCACTAATTTAAAAAAATATGGAAACTTAAATATATAAATGGGAAATATGGAGGCAAATAAATTGGATTAATATTTCTAAACTAAATTTCAGTTTTCATTAAATTTTAAGCTAGAGTAATTATAAATAAGGGTCTTCTCATTATGTGTTGCTTCAAGTTTTTTGCAAAATGAACTTTTAGTCATAGAGTCTAATTATTGCAATTGTATATTATGACAAATATATAAGACTCAACCTGACTAAAAAGATAGTTTTCTTTGAATCCAATCTAGTTGATCATGCATTGCTAAACCTGTTGAAACTTGCACAGAGATCCATGCCAACTGTAAAAACACTTAATGCAAATATTAGCACCTCTAATTGTATACTTGTGATTAGCAAAATGGGATTGACAAACCTTCGGGCTCATGGGATCAACAAGCCGATTGTACTTTGTCCTGAATGGTTGGTGATGCATCTAAAGCCGGTTTAAGTTGAACGGAGTCATCCTTTGCTGGATGAGTTGAGTCTCTTGCTGTAATGTCTCGGTACATGATTGAATCTTAACAGAGGTTGGATTTATGGCCCACACTAACAATTTCCAAAGCAAAGTGTTTGACTGTATGAGTTTAAATTCCAGATGCCAATTCACTGCGTGATGAAAAGTTTCCATTAAATATTCTATTTGAATCAAAACAAAAATAAAACGTTAATTGCCATGAATGGGACGATTCAGAGTCCAATGATTAAAAAAATGGTTTAAGGCTGATATTAGGTATTCTGATTGTAGAGAAGGATGAAGTTTTCATGAGAGATTTACATATGCAATGCTCATTATAGAAGTTTAGCATGATAATATGTCTAACTGAAATACTTGAGCTCGATACATGCATAAGAGTTCTTGATTGGATGTTGTTAATATCACAAAAGATATTGAAGGTTCAAACTTTTATCATTCAATTGCAGAATGTTTATCTTGCAGGCTTATACTGTGAAATGTCAATTACTTTTGAGTATAGAGCTCTGCACCACCCCTGGTGCCTTCCCATAGCCGCTTTTAGTAATTCATTATAGTTTTTATTGTTTTACCAGTGTACTCGATTGATTTTCCCTGTTTTATGCTATGTTGGTTGTTCTCTGAATATGCTAGTACTTTTCTAGTGGCAGAATATCTTGCATTTATTTATTTATTATTCGATGCCTTATGCGTGTATACTGGGATCTTGTTTATATTCTTTTATGTATAATTTTTTACTTTTAAACCATGTTGTTCTGGGTCAATATTGATTTTTCACTCTCCTCTCCAAGGGTTCTTCCGTTAAGTGTTCCTACAGATGCCCCTAATGAAGTTAATGAGAGTTTGTTGCAAATAGATTTAAGTGATCCAAGCTTAGAAGGAGAAAAAAATAATTTGTTAAGCTCTGAACAGAATGGAGTTTTGGGCCGAGTTTCAAGTGGATTAGGAGGTGGAAAAAGAGAAATGGTTAGCAGGTATGCTTATTTTTTTTTTACTTTTAATTGAATGCATACAGTTATTCAGAGTATGCATAATTTATATATTTTCCTTGTGAATGTATGTCATAAACTATGTCTTCCTACGTTATGATATCTTATGGACCTACAAAATAAATGTCTTGAATTGTTAGAAATGAGAAGCTAATCGTCATCAGGGGTGATAATGGTCCAATTTTGTGCTAATTTAATACCGACTCACAATAGATCAAATATATGTAGACTAGTTTAAAATTGACTCATGGCTCAACTTGATTGTTTTCAAGCTTGCTCTGCTCAAATTCTCACTATTTCGTGCTAGCTTGAATTCAAGTTTTTAAGTTTTTTAATTTTTATAATTTATTTTGCATGTTTAAAAGCATTCATATAATATTTATATGCATTAAATATCAAACATATTGATGTAGACAAAGGGGGGGTCAACTCAAGTTGAGTTTTTTTTGCCTAGTGTCTTTTCATATTTCCCCTCTTCAATATCATCATTGAATATAATTGCTTCCAACTCTGGTTCATCTAGAGAAAGATTTGCAACCTCCAATAATTCCATATCATCAAGGCACTTGAACCCATCTCCAACAACATCCCACATCTTGTTATCACATGTCATATAAAGTAGGATTTTCCTTGATAGAAGACGAAAATTTGTACGCATATAAACTTAATCTTCAGCTCGTTGTGGAGTTATTTTATTCCTCTTCATTGATTGAATAAATGAGTATGTGCTCCAATTTCTCTCACAACAGGAAGAGGATGATACTTAAAGTTCTGTTTGTTTTTAAAGTTCGTAAGTTATTTGTATGAAAAGATACCGAGCAGTACCGAGCATGTACTGAGCGGTACCGAGCATGTACTGAGCGATACCGAGCATTTACTGAGTGATACCGAGCATGTACCTAGCTATACCGAGCTTGTACCTAGCGGTACCGAGCATGTACTGAGCGATACCTAGTAGTACAGAGCATGTACCTAGCGCTACCTAGAGGTACCGATCATGAGCATTAGCTTTTTTTTGGTAAGTTTCAAAAAACAACAATTAATATTTCAGGCATCAATGCCATTTATCAGTCACCGAAAGTGGAGATGAAAATATCTTCACTGCCAAAAAGAAATGAAAATGAGAAAATTCGATGATTGGGAATTAAGTGTGGATATTGATTTGCTGTTGTGGATAGGAAATAAGAAATTTAGTTTAAATCCCGCAAAATACAAGAAATTCTATTTTAAAAAATTCATAAAATATTTAAGATACGCGTGTCCAATTTGCATTTAATATTTTTTAATCGGACACGTTTTCGGCGTGTCTGACACGTGTCAGAGAAGTGTCATGTCGGACACGGTGTCGGACACTGCACGCCTCTTTGAGGAGAAGTGTCAGTGCATCATAGATTAGAAGTAGCTCAGAGGCAAGTTTTAAAACCAAGCTCTATAGCAAGGCTGCCCAAATGTTCATATTTAATTTGAGAGGAGTTTCTCTCAAGTAGCAGGTCTTACAACTTCTTCTGGAATATGCCTCAAAGTTTATTTTGGAGTGGGACTTACGGCTCTACTTATGAGTTGCCTAAAGATAGGCCTTACAAACTAGCTCTACCACAAGACTGCCCGAAGATTTAATTATTTGGTGAAAGTTGCCTAAAGGTGAGTCTTACAACCTAATCTTTTAGATTAAAATGCCCACTAATTTAAATTTGATTATTTGGGGGTTTCGATATTTCATTTAGAAGTTTCTCAAATAATAGGTCTTATAACTCTTATTAGAAGTTGACTAGTTATTTGGGTAAGACGGGTCATACTGCTTCTCTATAGAAGTAGCCAATTGTTGGATCTTACAATTTAGCCCTATAAGCTAAACTGTCTGATAACTTTGTTTGGATTTGGGATAGGTCTTATGACTTCCCTAAGAAAGTTGCATAATAGAAGATTTTACAACTTAATCATTTAGACTAAGATGCTCATTAAATAAATATCAGTGCTTTGTATATCTTGAAAATAAATCATGATAAAAATTTCACATGCTTTCAACATAGGATCAACATCATAGTTATTGTATTTCAAAGCACTAGTTAAAGATGAAATTCTCTCTTGAAGCTTTTGCCTTGATTTTTTAACAAGAGATGCTTGCATATTTTTGTTTGAGAGTTTGATATTTCATTTAGAAAATTTTCAAATAATAAGTTTTCCGACTCTTATTAGAAGTTGTCTAGTTATTTAGGCAAAACGCATCTTACTGCTTCCCTTTGAAACTAGCTCATTGATGGGTCTTACAATTTAACCCCATAGGCTAAACTACCCGCTAATTTGAATTTGGTTAGGATTTTAGGTACATTGTATTTTATTTAAAGATTCCCTAAAATGTGGGTATTATAACTTCATTTAGAAGTGGCTCTTCATTTAGAAGTGGCTCTTACAACCTAATCCTATAGACTAGAATGTCTATTAATTTTTTGTATTTGATTGAGGGTTTTGTTTGAAAATTTCCTAAATAATAGGTCATATGATTCCATTTAGGAGTTCCTAATTATTTGGGTAGAACGGATCTTACTACTTCCCTTCGGAAGTAGGTCAAAAGTGGATCTAATAACCTAGCCCTAGAGGCTAAACTGTCTGAAAATTCTTATTTATTTTGAGAGTTTCTCTCAAGTAACAAGTTTTATAGCTTTTATTGGAAGATGCTTGAAAGTGGGTCTTATTATTTCACTTAGAAATAGCCCAATTATGAGTCTTACGACCAAGTCTTATAAATTAGGATGTCATGATATTTAATTGTTTGTTTGTTTGAGTGGACAGTAGTTGTTTGTTATGTTGGAACCAGACTATGATTTTCAGTTGTTTACTAGCTCGACACTTACTAGCCAATAGTTGTTGTGTGACACTAGTGTTTTTGCTACAGTAGCTCTTTTCTTTTAGCATAGTAGTTTCTTTACAGTTTCAATAGTTTATTTTTCCTGCACCAGTAGTTCTACTCTTGTTGTGCTAGTGGTTTACTGTAGCATTTGCTCTTCTTTCTGCTTTAACATTTATTTTAATATTAATTTAATTTGAATGCTTGATTAATTTTATTTACTTGCCTACAGGAGCGCTTGAATGCCTGATTAATTTTAGTACTGAGTTTGTATTAGAGTTGTGTTGTGTTTGAGAGTTTTTTTTTTTAGAGCAGTGTTTGAGAGTAGTAGTTATGAGTTTGTGTTTGTTGAGTTTTGAGTTGTGAGTTGAGTTTTGAGTTATGAGTTGAGTTTTGTGAGTTTGAATTGTGTGTTGTGTTTGTTGAGTGTGTTTTGACATGAGTTAGTTGAGTTGAGTTATTTAGGTTTATTATTATGAACATTATGCATTTTATTTTATTTCATTTGATTGATTGATTGGTTGGTAGAATTGTACCCCTCAAACTTAAGGGAAAATTCTATAAGATGGTAGTGAGGCCTGCAATGCTTTATGGTGCCGAATGTTGGCCATTAAAAGAGAAGCATAATACTAAGTTAAGTGTGGCAGAGATGAGGATGCTTAGATGGATGAGTGGCTTTACCCTTAGAGATAGGATACGAAATGAGCATATACGTGAAAAGGTTGGAGTAGCTCCAGTAGAAGATAAGATTAGAGAGAGTCGCCTTAGATGGTTTGGTCACATAAAAAGGCGGCCTTCCGACGACCCAGTTAAGAGAGTAGAGGTATTAGATTTGACTTGTGTTAAGAAAGGTAGGGGTAGACCTAAAAAGACTTGGTTAGAAAATATTAGGAATGACCTTTCTTTATTAGATTTAAACGAGAATTTGGCTTTTAATAGGACTCAATGGAGAAAAAGGATTCATGTAGCCGACCCCACGTAGTGGGATAAAGGCTTGATGTTGTTGTTGTTGTTGTTGTTGCTCCAAATATTAATTTAATTTCAATGCCTGATTAATTTCATTTGCTTTCCTACAAGAGCTCGTGCTCTTTTGGAGTTTCCACATGAGAGTACAAAGTTTGTATTGGAGTTGTGTTTGAGTTTAAGTGTTTTATTTGGAGAGCAATGTTTGAGAGTATGAGTTGTGAGTTTGTGTTTATTGAGTTTTGAGTTGTGAGTTGAGTTTTGTTGTTTTGAGTTATGAGTTGAGTTTTATTTTGTCATTTTGAATTGTGTTTGTGTTTGTTGAGTGTGTTTTGGCTTGAGTTAGTTGAGTTGAGTTATTTTAGGTTTAGTATTATAAACATTATGCATTTTATTTTGTTTCATTTGATTGGTTGATTGGCAGATGAATTTTTTAAAATTTGTTGGTTTATTTTAAATTTTAAATTAATTAAATTGATTACCTAAATTTAATTATCAGTTGAATTTTGAATTATTCAATTAAATAAAAATTGTTTAATTTGATAGTTATTTAATTAAATGTTAAATTGGTTAATTGAATTAATGATGTTTAATTTGGTTGATTAATGAAATTAAATTTTTTATTTGATTAAACTTAATTAGTTAAATTAGTTTTCTAAATTAATTGAGCGGGTTTTGAATTTCAATTTTATTTTAAAGTTATTAATTAATTTATTGAAATTGATTATTAAATTAAGTGAATTTAAAAAAAAACATTTGGTTATCTTGAATTAGATTTTATTAGATTAAATGTTATTTATTTTAAAATAAATTAGATTTGATTTAAATGAATTGTTAAATTTTATTAAATTTTAAATTAGATTTTTAAATTAAGGTTTTATCATTTAATTAGATTAATTAATTAAACAAATGACCTTTCTCCAAATGTTCCGAAAGAAAAGTTTGACTTCCAGGGAATTTCGGTAGCCTCCCAACGTCCCATCCTTTGTAGGGAGGTCGGCACAGCATTTGTTGATATTTTCTTCCCAACGACCTAAGGTCGACAGCGTGATGCCTTGAATTTAAAATCATCTAGTCAGATTTAAGGTCGATGACGCGAGTTCTTCAATTTCAAATCATCTCAACCAGATCTAAAATCGATGGCATGAGGTCTTCAATTTAAAATCATCTCGGCCAG